TCAAACGCACCCTTAGAGTTAGTAGCAGTTTCGAGGTCTTTTGCTTGTTGTATGCATGAAATCAGTTTGCTTACCGTTTATAAACGATCAAATTATTTTTTATTCTTATATTTCGTGATTCAATATAATTTAAATTGTTTATAGCCAACAAATTCCCAAACAGGCTGTTAGATTACAGCTTTCAACTTTGTTTTTTTCTTTGAAATATTCAAATTGTGGGTAGTGCTACTCATCATACACCTATCTCTTCATTTTGGCAATTCTACTTCTACAGCGCATTATTTCGGCCCCACCACAGTGTCCTTGGTCGGCTTGTAGAGTTCTCTTCAACTCCACTCTCCCCTCGTAAAATGATATTTTGGGCGAATTTGAGCCACTTTATTTTGAAAGAATGTATTTTAAAATAGTAGGTTGATGGAAAATGTGTGGTTGAAAAAGAAAGAAAAAACATTGATGTGATGAAAAATATTATTTTATTGAAAAATGTGTGATTGAAAATGAGTAGAATAATGAAAATGAAAATTTTAACGTAACTCAAACGGGGGTCTTATACACATTATACTTCTTGAAAATATTGGAAAAAAAAAAATAAAATCAACCATAATTAAATGAACACCTTGTGCCATGATCATCTTGTGCAAGTTAATTTCAAATAAACTTATGAGTGTGTTTGGTACACATTTTTCTGAAANGTTTGGGACACGTTCTTTTGAAATAATGTATTATTGAATAGTAGATTGATGAAGAATGTGTGGTTAAAAATGAAGGAAAAGTTATGATGTGATGGAAAATATTATTTTATTGAAAAATATGTGGTTAAAAATGAGTAGAAGAATGAGAATGAAAAAAATAATGTGTACCAAACAGAGCCTATATTTGAACATTACTGACCACTTTCAAAAAGAAAAAAAAAAAAAAAATCTTTTCTAGACATTCTCATGTTTTTTATAGATAAAAAAGTATGACGATGATGACTAACATGGAAAAAATAGCCATTGTTCAATAGTCACATCAGATAAAATGTTCAAAGAAGAAAAGAAAAAGGGAAAGAATCCTCTAGCACATTGCATGCCTTTATGAACTCTTTATATAAGGTATAAATCTATATGTACATAATTTTTGTACATAATGAATTGTATAGGTTAATGTAGAAAAAATCTGATCGTGGATGTGAAGTGTGAAAAAGTCAAAAATTGTATATTACCGATAGATACGCCCCCACATGTCAATTACGTAATGTATTATGTAAATGATTATGTACTTATAGCATTGTCCTTACATAAATTGCTATCACAAGTTTTCCGGAGTTTGAAAAATCCCCGTCGTTTTAAATAAATTCGGGTATAATACATTCGCATTAATTATATTTTGCTTTAGTGTTAATCAAATAATTGTATTTCAATTTTGTTCAATCGAGTAATTAAATTTTAATATGGTTTCAAGTAACTTCATCCAATTTCGTCACTTAAACTTACAAAAATCAATGAATTGATAGTCAATAAATAAAACCCGTCATTTACTTCATTGAAGTTGTACATATTTCATATCAACAACTAACAATTATATCAATATTACTACTTGTACACCTCCATTTACACACTAATTAACTTGTTGAATTTATACTTGGCACAATCTCACATCACCTTTTACACCTAACACATGTAATCCAATCATTATAAAATCGTCACGTCATTCATCTGTCAATCAAGTGGTAAAACGAGATATACAAATAGCTTTATCCCAATTATATATGATGATCATCGATTTTTGTTAATGAAATTGAACAAAGTTGTCTTAATTAGAATTAAATTAAAATATTCTTACCTGATTGAAGTCAAATAAAAGTATAGCTACCTAATTGAAATCCGATTAATCAAAATTAAAGCGTAATTACCTAATTGACACTATAATGTTGTATAATAACCGCAAATAGAATTAACCGATTAAATTAATTTGATATTTCTAGTGTACAAGAACAATCCAAATCCTAAACTTACACCCCTATTTGGTAGAAGTTAAAATTCAAATTTTATTCTAAGTCATGATTTACAACTTTTCAACCACACATTTCATCAATATTTATTAAAATTTGTTAAAAATCTGATTTTAATCCCACCGAACAGGAGTTAATGAATTAGATAAACATGAGAAAAATGAAAATAAAAACCGATAAAAAGGCAATGGAATCAAGAATTCTCCTATTCCAGAGTCAAAAAGAGACAGTCCACTACAGGAAATATTGCACTAAAAAATAATAAAAAAAGATTAGATAAATGATGGTCATAAAAGAAGACAAAAGTTCCAATATAAAATAATCTTAAATTTATAAATCGAACATCATTAGTGCAGTCAAAAACAAACAGGTCCAAGCCCCTTTCTCTCTTTATATATCATCATCCATAAAAAAGTAAAGCCAACCCAAAACAACTGAAAACATTCTTTCTTGAATCAATGACAACTCCCAGACAAAGGAGGTGAATTTTCTCCATCTTCTAGACATCGCTTTCTTTTTTTTTAAAAACCTTTTTCTTCATAAGAATCCATGGATACTGCTCAATGGACGCAGGTGAGTAGCAGTCGATAAATCTTTGTGTTTAATCTTTTTTTCTCCATTAATTTCTTCCAGATTGTACAAGTAGATAGATAGGGTTTTATTCTTCTTCTGATCTCATGCGTGTTGGATTCTTTTTTCTCTTTTTTCAGTTTTAATCAGTTCTTTAGTACATGAGAGCACTGCACTTTTTCCTTACTTTCCCTTTTTGCAGTGAAAAAATGATAACCGATAAAGGATTAGGAAAAAGGTATTATTAGTTATTTTTTGAAGTGAAATTAAAGCTATATAACTATTTTTTATATGTTTTGTAGTAGCTATCAGTATTATCGATCATACTTTTGCAAATTTTATATGTGCATGTTTGGTAGGAAGATGAAAAAGAAGTTGAAATTTTAATGTTGAGTTGTGTTCAGGAAATTGGAGTGGCAAAATCAGCGGCAGAGATGACTCCAACTTCAAGTACATGCTCAAAAGAAAGAAAGGCGAGACCACAGCAGGAACATGCCCTTAACTGCCCTAGGTGTCATTCAACAAATACAAAATTCTGTTATTACAACAATTACAGTCTTACACAACCAAGATACTTCTGCAAGACCTGTAGAAGGTACTGGACTGAAGGTGGTACACTAAGAAATGTTCCAGTTGGGGGTGGTTCAAGAAAGAATAGAAAATCCACTTCTTCCTCATTGTCTACACCCCATAAAATTCCTGATCTGAACCCTAATTCAAGCATTTCTCAATTTTCCTATCAAAACCCTAAAGTCCATGATGGACAAGATCTTAGCCTTGCTTATCAAGGTATCCCACAGTTTCTTGAATTTCCTAAGATTGAGAACAGAAGCACTGTCAATTCTATAGCCTCTTCCGCCTCTCCTTCTACTCCAGTTTCTGCCCTAGATTTGCTGCGGACTGGAATTTCTTCAAGGGGGTTTATCCCTACTCCAGCTATGGAAAGAAACACGGTATTCGCAACTGGATTTCCATTTCAAGAATCCAAGCCAGCCATTGATTTTTCCTTTGACGGGCTTGGGATCAATACATATGGCGATTCCAACAAGGGAGATGACGAAAATGGTGAAAGATTAGTGTTTCCTTTTGGAGCAATGAGACAACACACAATCAGTGAAGTAGATCAGAGTAAGGGGCAGGAGAATCCAAATGGATACTGGAATGGAATGTTAGGTGGAGGACCTTCTTGGTGAAAAGAAGAGATGTACAAGAAGAACAAGGACTGGCACCTTTTTCTTCTTATTTAATTTTCTCTATTTCCTTATAGTTCGTTTTCATTTTCATTGTTGATTAGTTGTTTGAAGCTGTGTAAAACTAACATACTACCGTATGGTAGTGTTTCTGTCGTTTGTAAAAGAGGTTTTTGAGAAAGCTAACTTAGATTAGTTTTCTCTAAAAGCTCTTTTGTTAGACAAATTACTTTCAAAAAATTATCAAAACATATATAAAAGTATCTTCTTAATCTCAGAATCAGCTTTTGCCTCTTTAAAAGTCTCGTTAAACAGGTCCATGGTCTCTTTCTTCTTATTTCATTAAACTAAGCTCTTCGTAGAACAAACAAGTGGCGACTTTAATTTGTATCGTTGATCTACATATATACAATCGAATTGTTTGGCTACCGTTTATAAATTGTGTATAATTGATCAAATAACTGTTTATACATATATTTTGTGAGATTTAATAGTACTAATCAATTATCCGCCGCTCATTAAAAGTTTGTATGGTGTTTGTTTTCATTTTTAATAAATCAAGTCACCTAAAATTATTTAATTGAAAAAGAAAAAAAGAGGCTGAAGAATGAAGGGTAGAGAAGAAAAAGGAAGGGAATAAAACAATATTTGTTTCCTTTTACATATCGCTTTCCTTATTCTATAATGTTTGTGTATTTCTACTTGTTTTATCCCTGTCATTTCTTTTTTTTTTTATACCCAGGTATCCCAATTTACATCAGACTATGTCCTGAACCACCCATCTCCGACCCCTCATCAATGGGTGGAAGCTAAATCACGGTATATGCCCAAGTTGACCAGGGTTCGTGCACCCTTCATACTCCCGACCCCAAGGAAGCCTTCTTCCATGAATATTACATCACCAAACTGTTCCACCCATAATTGAGTATTACATCACTCAGTTGCTCCATTCAGGAATCGAACTCCCCACGCTGAGGTTACAAGTCTAGCAATGCCCGTCCTTACCAACTCGGATGTGCCCCGGGGGGCTATCCCCGTCATTTCTTATTTTGCCTCAATTTGTAATTAATCATTTTTGTTTCCCTCACGAAGGAAAATATGAGAATCATGTCTACTACGTACGAACAGAAAAGTCAGTATTTGTAGAATTACAAATATGTATTAAAAACGAAAGATTCTCATAGACATGCTCATCATGTACAAATTACAAGTAACTCTTGGAGATAATGTCAATGATAAAAAAGAAAGCAACTCTTATTCATGATACTCACAAAAATTTGAATTCAGGCGGACCTGCATTCAAGAATATGATTCAATCAAACGTTTACGCCGCTTATATAATCTTCGTTTGGTAAGATTATTTTTTCAAACTCATTTTAAATCACACATTCTTCTAATTAAATAATTTTGCACGTGGACGCATAATTATTCATTTATTTTTTACTTTTTGTCAACTTTTTTTTTATTTAAAAGAATAACTTTTCATGAAATTTATTCTCAAAATATCTGCAACAAACAAGCCTTATTAAAAACATTATGGACGGAGTTCAAATTCTAAGCAGTACGTAATATAAATACCAACTTCATTACACATAATTAGCAACTTATTACAAATATTAAAAAAAAAAGTTCACCTGCTGTCTCAACCTAATTATTTCTACATATACATGGAGGACCCTCAGCTCTCATTTGCCTGCTGTGTATTCAAGAACAAAGAAAAGTTTGACAAGCCAATGGCAAATCATTAGAAAAAGGTCCCACCAAACATTCTTCTTAGTAAGCGTGCTGAGAAATTATTACCTGCTCAGTCCCACTTGGTTTTTACTAATTACTTAGGCCGTCGTTGTTCATTTTCTTGCATTATCTGATAGTAATATATTATGAATAATGCTACGTAACACCGCACCAGCACTAGTCAAGGTCCAAGAAATCATTCGTATGGACCAAAACAATTATTCATGGACCCCAACCAATCTGTGCTTCACTTTCTTTACTGGTAGATGATAAAAGTTGGTTCATCAACCATTACGGCGTGTTTGATAAAGTGGAGTCGACACTACTGGGCAGCATTAAAGAGAGAATGAAATTACAATCTTTCTTTTTATATCGTCCAACGATGTCCCACAATGCGTATCACACATGACCTTAGAATTATTCATACACAAGGAAATGGCAGTAGTTTATGGATAGAACAATCACAACAATGAAATCAACCACAAAACCAGAATGCACTCTGTTAACAACTTATCATTTGATAATTTTTGCTTATTCTCAACAGTAGAACGTTCAAACTAATGAGAACGTTTTCTACTAAGTTACTGGTCCGGTAAGAACATTCTCTGTAGCTCCTTCTTCAGTATTCATCCAACCAAGGTTCACGGACAGGTCCTCGACTGCTACCTTGATAACATCAGTTCGTACACCAATATCTGTTGCATACCGGCTCATGCAGTACATTCCTGCTGTAACTGTAGCCACACCAACTGGACTCGGCATAAGTAACTTGAGAGGGGAGGAAAGAAGGGCTGCTAATGGTGCACCGATGACAGAAGACGCTTGTCCACTTCTTCCAACACCAAGCCTATCAATTGTCAGAAGTCCTGTTTTGCAATACAAGGCAAAATCCTCACAGTTGTTCTGGAACACGTCATAGTTCCCAAATCCATTCTGAAGCAGATACATCGCTCGGTGGATGGCTGTTTCCGGAGGGTCTGATTCTGCTGTGGTGCAAGTGCCTCCCCGTACTTTAGCAATGAAAACAGATGGAGTCACTCCATACTCAAAACAGTAAAGGGAACCTTTTTGAAGAAAGCAATCCAGACAGGAAAGGACTACTCCACTCTTTGGCTGCCTATATCCACAGTCAGGGAATGTCGGACATGATGAAGGTTGGTTATAGACATCATCATCAGAACTAGAAGAGGTTCCAGCACGGGTAAAATGAACGACTTTGCTGCCCCCAACGAATATACCTGCATGATTAGATAGTGAAAGGGCCACCTCAGGTACTGGATATATGTACTTGGATAGGTCATCCATAGTTCATTAAATGTAGCAACATATTACACTCAATGACATTTATCTATCAATGACCTTCAAACATGCTTTATAGTGATTTTTATTTTATGGTTGAGCTCGTCCAATAATATAATCTCAGCAGCTGGATAATTTGGGGTTGCCTGCAGGCACTTAAAATCATTTTCCATTCCAATTTTTTGTTAATAATGTAAATTTAGGATTACATCATTAAAAAAATCAAGCATTGGAATGCAATTTATGTTATTCCAAGATGCATGTGATGACCAATACAGTCTGAAATGATCGTGAAATGAGATGATGGTAACAAAACCAACATGTAGCAAGAAGCTGTTTGTCACTACAGTGCTTCTATAGCAATACAAAGCATGGAGAAACATATCCAGAAAAATTCAAAAAGTTAGTTATCTATGCTGACATGCGGAGTCTAATGGCGATTCATAGGGGATTAACAAATGCAAATTCGGATGTGGAGCAACAAAATGGTGACTACAGTCTACAGCTAGTCAAGAAAGGAACAAAGTTTGGAGGTTATACCATCATCAGACGGATAACATGAAATTATTTATGATGAAAATTTGAAGTTTTGTCTTTCCTCAAGCAATAAATAACAGTAATGCCATGGTTTCAATATAGCTATTGCTTACGTCTGTTAATACAGTTATTGCTCAAGTTTTTCAAAAAGGAACTACAATGTTTTATTTGTGAAGCACAGGCTGGTCCTTGAAAAAGCTGGTAGTTAATTTTTGACAACAGCTTCCCAGAAGAATAATATTTGTTGACTAATAAGCAATTAACCGTGGATAAACACCCAAAGATAAGCAGACTACCGACAGAACTCCCACAGACAGATAAGAGGTGAAGGCCATAACAAACTTTTTATCTTGATAGTACCAGTGTAACTCAAGAACAACCTCTGCTCTGTTTGGTTTAGCTAAAAATTAGATTTTTTGTAGATTTTGATTTCAAAAAAAAAAGATGAATTGTGTGATTGAAAAGTTGATAAAAGTTGCAAGCCTATAAAATGTGTGATTGAAAATGAGTTTGAGAAAAAAAAAACAGTTTTAGAAAAATGGGAGCTAAACAGGGGTTAAGTACACAGAAAGGCCTTATCTCACTTAGATTATAACATACGCTTACAACCACAACATAATAGAAAACGATCGAATGAATCCAGAATATTATCATTTTGGGGCTAGAACTTCTAGACCACATGGGGGAGAACCATGCAAGCCGTGGAGAACCAGATTTATCAATAAGGAATCAGAAAAGCAGATTCAAGTTTTGTCAAATGTCTCAAACAAAAGAATTCTTTTTTCTCCAAATATGATCCTAGAAGTAATCAATACATCCCCATCCATTAACATTTTGTAACTAAATACTTTTCTCAATCACAAAGGTTGGCATACCAGATTTCAATAAACTCACAAAAGCCAATTAACCATTACTCTGTTAGGATACTTTTCTCAATCTTAAAGGATCCAAATCCATGAACGAGAAGTGAAGCAACAGATCAATTGTCCCAAAAGCATGAATGAAACAGCAAGAGATCAATGAACAATTCCTAACCTCTCTGGATACAGGAGGCAACCCCCCTTCACCCCAAAACCCAATATCCCACGTGCACACACACCAAAAAACACCAAAAAAAATCACAAATGCAATTTACAGTTCAGGCAAAAATAAAAAATAAAACTGAATGTGATTTTTGGCAATTCAGGGCAAAGAATACTGGAAATTAGAAAAGCAGATAAGAACCTAGATCAGAGTTTTATACAGACCACAATTGAGAGTATCCACATTTCAGAAAAAAATATAGCGGATAATAGGCCAAAAAAAGGAGCACAAAAACAGACAGCACAAGTAAAGTGAAAATGAAAAAGAGAAAAGCAAGAATTAAAGGGGAATAGGGGAAAAATAACACCAAATACCAAAAAATAATTACTGTAAAAAAAAATAAAAAGAGAAGAGAAGGCATCATTTGTAACCATGATGAGAGTATGCAAAGACTGCTCTGTACGTGTAGATGTGATCCCCTGGTTTGATCTCACTCCTCTCCACTCTGTTTGTAAGCAACCCCATTTCTATTTCTCTTGATTTCTGCCTCTTCTACACAAAGTAAACTGCTTATGGCTGCAAAATGTGTTTCAAAAAACCCAAAATTTAAAGCAGATTTAGAAAAAACCCATCGAGCAAAAGGACACATTTCACCGATTCAACATTTTGGGTGTTGGAAGTATACAAGATACAATTGACTTACCAAGTAATCTGCTCAACAACCGTTACCAATAGCAGCAATTGTATATTCAATGATGACATATGAGGCGTTTGGAACTGTGACTCTTTTTGTGCCAATTTGCTGGCCCAAGAAATTGTATTTTGGAGAGAAAGAACATTTACTTTACTTTTTGGAAACCCAATTTTGGTGCATTTTTCTTTTCATTTAACGTGGACATTCTGATTCGTTCTGTGGGAATCCAAGGAAAATTTGCACTCTATGGAGGTCAATACGACATGGTCTCTCTGGAGGTCAATGAAGGATGAGTTTGATAAGAAACCAAAGGTCACAATAGATCCAGAGTTCGAATTCTCTAACAACAATTTCTTGGTCGAGCCCGCCGCACTGGGCTTGTCAGTGCGGTTTACTTCTCTTATGTGGTTTGTGGGTTACTGCACATGGAGCGAGATTTATCTAGTGCGCAATCATAGTGGTCAAGACTCGGCTGACGGATAGCCCCTGCTGGTTCCTATATCCAAAAAAAAAAAAATGATTGAGTTTGACGGTTGAAAAGTTAAAAGTTATTTCTGACACTAAAAAATTGTTTTTGAACTTATTTGGAAAAAAAATTTAAATTATTTTGTCTGATTAAAAGAGATTTAAAGAAAATTGATTTAAGATAACTTCTTCGATAAACCCTTCTACAAAAAATAGAAATCCTACCAAACGAATCTTAAGTTATTTTTGCAATATAGCAAGAGTAACATTAAAACACAACTGTGCATTCTTCTCATACATACATGCTCTGCCTCCTAAACACGTTTATAACCACTTTGAGTTGTTACTTTCTTAACAAAGAACCGTTTTTAGTTACTCTTATGTTACTGTCATATTAATAATATTATTCATAATGAGGATTACCGATATTCATACATGTATGGTTTGAGCTACCACCTTTCACTGGACCACATCCCCAAACAGTTCCGAGAAGAGAATCTTAAAGATGGATGTAAGTTTTTTATGCTTTGTTTGGTTTGGGGTTTATTTCTTTTCAGTTTATGCATTTTGGCATCTTGTATATAATTTTTTCAGTTTCGATGATAAAATCAAGGAAGGGAAACGAAATTGAAGCTGATCTACTGCAGGGAATAAATTGAAATAAAGATAAGAGTTCAACATGAAAATCACATTGAAGGAACTTGAGAAAGGGGGATTTTATTATTCATCAAGCTCAATTAACATTGTAAATACATTGCTCTGTTTATAGAGAAAAATCTAACAATCTATTTAACAAACTTAACAACATAACAAACTAAAGAAGAATCTGGAATGAGCTGCTGAATCATGCTGAACGTGAGCTGATGTTGCTGGTGAACGTGTGGAATATTCCAACAAGTGTTAGATAAATTTTTGGGTTTTGATTTTTTTAATTTTTGAGGCTGGGGCATTCTTGTTTATGTATATGGGTAGGTTGGTGTTTATGTATAATATACTAATTGTGTAATGAATCATGAAGATACGTTGTTTCTCAAAAAACAATGTAAATCTTATAGAAGTAGGAAAATGATTTTAAGTAATGGAATTGTTGAAAGAAATATAAGAGGAGGGGGAAAGTATGAGATCATTGGGAAAAAATTTGAATGGCATGAAAATTAAAGTCTTTACATAGGCGTGTCTCCGTCTCGCGGAGACACTGCATCTGGCATGGAGACAACGTACCCTCTCGCAAAAACAGAGACATATTTTCAAATCGTCACCTTCTCTACTTTAGTTTCTTCCCATTTCTTGACTATGTTGAATTTGTTGCGGTAGGGTATCCACTGTGTATGCATTGCTTGGAGAGCATAAATTGTGTTAAAAGATTTCAGAAATTCATTCCGTGTGATCAATGCAAGTAATTTAGTCATTTCAATTTGCTACCAACAAGAATTATTTTCCAGTGATGCATAGCATGTGCGAATTAGAGAATTACTTTTCTGTATTCAGAATTTGATATTCTGGTTAGTTATATGAAATAGGGAAAATACTACTTGTACATTATGGGGTACATAAGGGTGTCCATAATGGACACTCGGCACCTCCCCATTGGATGAAGTGCCGCGGTCAAAAATGATTTTTAAAAAAATCTTTGACAAACGAGTCTAAAATGCTAATGTTTAATTGAGATACGCGAGGACTGAGGAGTGGTTGAATAATTGAGGCAAGAGAACAAATATAAATGGGCTAATTAGTCAACTAGATTAGTTAATCTTGGTGGTTTCCCTAATGCTTATAAATTTTTAATATGTTGTTAATGTAAAGAATTCTCCTAAATCATGGAGTAAGAAGATTCTTATGTTTAGGCCATCTCCGGTGCTGCACCAAATTTTGCACCATTTTGTACTAAATTTTGCACCAAACTAAAATTTATTTCCAACCATTACACCAAATAAAAAGTGTTTAATTATTTTCTTCTCTTTTTTTATTCTTAGTAATTTATTTATTCGAAATATTATTTATTTATTTTGGATATACATAAATTA